CTTCCTGCCCAGTGCCATTGTTAGTGTCAGTGCTTATTATTAGCACTGATCACTGTATTGGTGTCACTCAGGATGTCAGTGACACCAAGTCAGTTCCCCCCAGTGTCAGAATGCCTGACGCAGTCCTGCAATAAGTTGCCGATTGCCTCCATTACTGGTATAACAAAAAAACAAACAAAAAAAAAAACACAGTATATATACCACCATTTGTAAACGCTATAACTTTCACATAAACCAATTTACATATATTGGGATTGTTTTGTTTTTTTGTTTTTTTTATATCAAAGACATGCAGTAGAATACATTTTGGCCTAAATTTGATTTAAATTTTTTACTGGACAGATTTAATAGCAAAAAGTCAACAATATTGTTATTTTCCCCCTCAATTTTTTTTTTAATATAGTGCAATAAATTCTAAAAAAAAAAAAAATGCACAGGCTGTCAAGGACAACCGAAAAAAAAAAAAGACAAATTTTATTTGGTTACAGCATTGCAGGACCGCGCAATTGTCAGTTAAAGTAACAGTGCCATAACGCAAAAAAAATGGCCTGGTCAGGAAGGGGGGGGGGGGGGGGGGATCCTCAAAGTCAGGATCTTTCCCCAGCCTGCACTGGATGAGTCACGTTATCAGCTGAAAATGTGTCACAGGAGTGCAGAATGAACAGCACTCCTGTGATCCACAAGAGAAGTACAGCCAAAAGAGCTCCTTTAATTTAAAACACTGTTTAGCTTTAGAAGTGAAGCTATGAAGTGTTAGTTTAACCACCCCCCCCCCCCCCCCCCCCCCCCCCCGCCATATAGTAATATGACAGACGCAAGGTGGTTCTCTCGTTCTCGGAGGACGTCATATGACGTCCTCCCATTCTAACCGCGCATGCGTGGCTCCCGGCAATCGGCGGTGCGCTGTGTCCCTCGGACACAGCGGATCACCGATCCATGGAAAGAGCCGAAGATGTCGGCTCGGTCATGTGATCAGCTGTGTCCAATCACAGCTGATGACATGTAAACAGGGAAATGCCAGTTATGCTGCATTTCTCTCCTCACGAGCTGTCACGCTGACAGCTCGTGAGGAGAGGAGAGCCGGTAATCAGCATTCTTCGGAGGGGACATGTACACGGATCATCAGAGCACTAATGATCAGTGTGCCCTGATGATCTGTGTAGCCCCAGCAGCGCCACCTGTCAGTGTCCATTAGTGCCAGCTCTCAGTGCTCATCCATGCCACATTTCAGTGCAGCCCATCAGTACCACATTTCAGTGCAGCCTCATTAGTGTACATCAGTGGAGAAAAATCACTTATTTCCAAACTTTTATAACAAAAATGAAGAAAAAACTTTTTTTTTTTCCTCAAAATGTTCAGTGGTTTTTGGTTTAAGAAAAAATAAAAAACCCAGAGGTGATTAAATACCACCAAAATAAAGCTCTGTCACAAACAAATGATAAAAATATCATATGGGTACAGTGTTGCATGACCACGCAATTGTCATTCAAAGTGCAACAGCGCTGAAAGCTGGAAATTGGGCAGGAAGGGGGTAGGCTAGTGGTTAAGATTATGCCAGCATTACTATTACTAACAGCTGGTTAGAGCCAATTGTACTGAAATAAATATGTAGGCTGCTCTTGCCAAGATCTCATTCTGAAAATGGTGGCTGCCCTCTGAATCCAGTAGCTTTAAGATATTCCCACTCACTAACCTTGATCAATGTTGGAGATCAGTCCACTGATTTACTGAAAGTTTGTTCCAGATCAATAATGTAAGCCAGTTAAACTTGCAACAACTAGGCAACTGTTTTTGGATGCAGGGCGGTCCTAGCAACCAGCTTGTTAATATGAAAAGTTAACTTTGGCAGCTCCCAACTCCTCTCCTCCATCCAGTACTGCCCTACCTCCTGCTCTCCACTCTGTACCACAGAAAGTTAGGAAAGTGAATGGACAGAGCTGCAGGGAGCTGGAATGTGAGGAGGGGGAAGCAGAGCTGTGGGTGTCTGAAGTGAAAGTGGGGTGAAGGACATGGTTGTGAAGGGAAACTGATGTGAAGGAGGAACTGTGATATGCAGGGGGGACAGAGGACACAGATACAAGAACACTATGATATTAGAGGAGGGGGGGCTGCTGTGAAGTGAAAGTGGGGTGAAGGACATGGTTGTGAAGGTGGAACTGCGATATGTAGGGGGAAGGAAGACACAGATGCAAGAACACCATTATATTAAAGGAGGGGGGCTGTGATGTGAAGGATCTCAAACATGCGATTTGGATCTCCGCTGGAAGAAAACATTACTGATCAGATCTCCGTACATTCTAACTCAGCACCCGTGATCTTCGACTTCAAGTGTTTTTCCAATCTGGAGATTAAAGCCTCTTCTTTGGGATGACAGTGGTCTAAAGACTTAAAGGACTTTGGATAGATCAGAAAAATTGTCAGTCTTTGAAGGGGTACAGTTTTTTTTTTTTTCGATCTTAGTATTACTTGTTTGCATTTTTGTGCTGTCAAGGGTCATAATAGCCTAGATATATATGAAGTGGAGATGGCTGTAAATGAGAGTGTCTGCAGTTTAGTCAGCTGATTCTAAATCATCTCTTTAATTGTATTTTTTGTAACAGGCTCACCAATAAAATTAAGCCAAAAACAAAAGCCCTAACACATTTAGTTTTGCATATCATTTGTTTTAAAAATGTATCCGATTCCTGTTATCCATGTCTGATTGTTGTAAGAGTCTGAGCCTCCTGTGAATTAGTGGCTGGCAGGAGGAACCAGAGGCACCTGTCTAGCTGGGGACCTGTATCTGACACATACAGAAGTGTTTTATAGCAAAAGGTGCCAGTTGCTCTTCAAGAGAAAAAACATTTAACTCACAATGTGCTAGAAAGGTATGTATTAAAAGGATAAGTCCAGCTTTGGGAATATGTTACATGTTCCACCTGTTTTTAGGGTGTAACATTTTCCTCCATGCTGCAGCCACTGCCATATCCCCCTTCTCTCTGTTACAGAAGTACGGGGAGAAGTTCCCCATACTAGCCGTCACTTTTTAAAAACACCGTGGCTGCGTGGGGGCTCTGCCCACACAGCTGCATCATTCATAGTGTTCTGTGAATGAACGAACTACAAGTCCCAACAGCCTTAGCAGCTGTTGGCCTGTGGTTCTTAATGAACTACCACGGCACTGTGGAGCACGGGGTAGTTCATGGATTATTCCGGTCAGTATATTGGATTGCTTGTACATCCTGTATGGGCAAGCAGATATACTGACAGGTCAGCAAGACATCTGCATGGCACCAGTGATCTGCTGATAACTGGTGAAATGCTTTACAGGCTCTTGCAACAAAATATAAATGCACATTTTTTTTAACCTGCAAAAAAAAAAAAAAAAAAAAAAAAAAAAAAAAAAAGGTGAATTTATTATTTGTGGGCAAAAGGTGAACTTATTTAAACTATTTTTTTTACATGGTGTCTGTTTTACATTTGTTACAGGGTCATTTTGAAAGCTTGGGATTACAAAACATTAATGGCAAAAGTAGTCAACATATATGGGGGTAAAGAGATGAACATTTGGAGGTAAAAGGTTGATGACAAACAGCAAAACTAAATAATCAAAGCTTTGTATACTCAACAAGGTCAGCTGAGATTCTTTCGTTCCACATGCACATTATGCCAGCAAGCCATGTAACTAAATGTCACCGTTAAATTCCATCTATCTATATCAACATCTCTACATATGAAAATGACAAACGTAATAAAACTCTGCTTTATAAATAAAAAAAAAAAAAAAAAAAAAGCTGGCTACATTTTGCATATACTGGTACTCTGATCTGTATGGTCCACTGCATGTAACACCTTCCCTTACTCAGCCCACTCTATTCCAACCATCCTAGTTCTTGCCATGAATCTGTGTGATGCACTGCGTTGTTCTAAGCTTCACCCCCACCCTCCTCCAATCCTTCTGTGCGCATAAACAGAGCCAGTGCTAAATTTCAACCCCTGCAAGTTTTATTCCTCCTAGTACTGCAAGAGAAACATCCTTGGGGAAAAAGACAGGTCAGTTGATAATTTGCATATAAGATAAATTTACAAACCCACCACCCACCCACCCCCCCCACACACACACACACACACACACACACACACGTGTAGATGTCTGCCTGTACCTCTGCAACAGGCAGGCAGTTACTTCAGTCCAGGGAGAAATCAATGAACTACGAAGATGCTCACCAGTACCCTTATAGTTCATTGAGAACTACAAGCTGTCAGCCACAAAGGCCATTGGTCTATTCATTTATAGAACTCTGTAAATGACGCAGTCCTGTGGATGGAGCCCTGCACGGCCACACTTTCTTCAAATTGTGACACTAGGTGTATAAAAAGAAGATCCCCAGTCCGCTGTCACAGAGAAGGAGGGAGTGGGACAGAATGGGGGGGAGCTAAGGGAGTATAAAAAATGGGTGGAACATGTTCCCAAAGTGAACTTACCCTTTCAATATATGGAAGGATATACTCTCATTACACATTAAGGCCTCATGCACACCAAACGCTGGTTTAACTCTGGTTTCTATAGTCTTAACTCAAAAGTACCTATTGCTCGTAGCCTCTTCCAAATTCCCAAATTGTTAGTTTCTTTTTTTATGCTCCAACAATCTGACTTCTTGTTAGAAGGTGGCTATATTCATTCTCCGTGATCCCACTGTATGTAGGAATGCAGGCACCCTCTGATTTGCTCCAGAGATGGACAAGGGACTATAGGCTGTGTCATGTACATACAGCAGCAACTAACATGCATGGCTTGTTCCAACTGCAAGTGCGGGGGGAAGGAGAGGAGCTCAATGAACATTGCAAGAAGGCAAAAAAACAAAAAAACAGTAAAACAATATTAAGAAAAATGGACTAAGCAGTGGACGTACCGTATTTTTCACTCCATAAGACGCACTTTTTTCCCCCCAAAAAAGGGGGGAAAATGTCAGTGCGTCTTATGGAGCGAATGTAAAGCGGCCGGCGGTCCGGTATTACTGCCGCCACCATGTCAGAATATCGGCCCGGCCGCTCACCTCTTCTCTCCTGCAGGACCTTACCTGTTCCTCGCTCCAGTCTTCCCGCAGCAGCTTCTGTGACAGCCGGGTGCCCACTGCGCATGCACGAGAAGCGCTGCGCTTTGTGAATGGTCCGGTGTCTTCTGGAGGAAGGACAACTCTGCGGAAGTGGGAGCAGGTACCTGTCAAACTCAGGTACCAGTTCCCCCTCCCTCCCCAAAGGCCCGCAGTGTCTGGTCATCCCCTGTACTGTGTCCGCAGTCTCTGGTCATCCCCTGTACTGTGTCCGCAGTCTCTGGTCATCCCCTGTACTGTGTCCGCAGTCTCTGGTCATCCCCTGTACTGTGTCCGCAGTCCATTGGTTCAGAATATTTTTTTTTTCTTGTTTTTCTCCTCTAAAATCTAGGCACGTCTTATGGTCAGGTGCATCTTATGGAGCGAAAAATACGGTATATGGATTACTTTTGGAGTGTAAGAGTCAATTAGTGTCACTTTAATGCTTAATCTGATTCAACATGCTGTTTACACAAATATAACATTTGCCCTGCTGTTAAAATCTGAGAAATGCCACATTTAGTACATAAACTGAACGATGACACCTTCTACTCATTGGGGGATTTTCCTCCCTGCTAGGAATTGGAGTGATGAGGAACCTCTCCCAGCAAGACACAAATTGCTATTTTGTTTGTTTTTGTATAAATAAAGGAGTTTTATAGTCAACACTTTCGGCCTCATGCACACTTGACATTTGGCCATCTCTCCTAGACACCTTTCCTCCTTGCAGCCTTTTGGCAGAAAAGACACTTGTAAACTTGGGCATTAATTTCATTGGTCAGAATAATTTTATTGTGGCCATTAAAATGAGTTAACGCTCAAGTGCTAAACACACCTAGCCTTAACGTGCATTTATCCACATGCGCTTTGGGGCATCAAGCATTTTTGCTGCTAAAACACTGCTGCGCCTAGAAGGATCTTGTTTCTTGCCTCTAAAAACAAATGTGTGCATTGACACACAGGCTAACATGCAGGGGTGTTTAGAGGCAGAAAAAAAAGAAAAAAAAAAAAGCCAGACATCCTGAATAGCATTGTTAATAATGTCCAGTGTACATGAAGCCTTCATTTTACAAAATCAGCAACGTAATACAAACCGTTCTTTTTGACAAATCTTTCATGTTGTGATAGATACCTGTCTGCTACCAACTTTCCACAACTTTCTGAACTCCCTGCATGCTTTACAAATTTCTCCTCTGCTGTTTACTTTTGATTTCTAAGGGCTACATACCATATGGTATACCTTGCTGCCCAGATTCCTGTACTGACCTGGCCTCCTGAAACAACTATTCAGCACCTCTAGTTCAAAAGACAGCCTTCTAAATGTGCGTGAACAGTCATGCAGCACTTGGTCCCATTCTGACCTATGTGGAGTTAACAGCCTGCCCTCCCCCTACTGCTGTTCAGCCAAGCTGCCCAGGAGACCAACATTCAATGAGGTCTGAGTGACAGCGTTTGTCGCATGAAAAGCAAGCATGTTAGTGCAACAATCTTGCGTGTGTTCGCAGGTAACATACACAGGATTATCAGCAGCAGGCAGACAGAGGAGGAATCGCTGTATAGTTTACTAACTGGAAGCACAATCTATGCCCTCACATCACACACAAGGGGAGACCACTGTTCTGTGCCTCCTGCATATAAATGCCCATAAATTTAGCTTCAGCCTAGGTTGGGGTGGACAGCGAGGAGATACAGGGGAAAAAATAAATAAATAAAAATAGATGCATCTGTTGCCTAATGCTGCCACGTATCAAAACTGGACCAAATGCTTCATGCACTTGGTCCCCTGGGGGGATAGTACAACAATTTTGAATGTATATATTATATTCTTTAGTAAGCAACACCAATCCAGTATTTTGGGGGTTTATGAGGACCACACAGCATTAGTTGGGCGCTCTTTCCACTATGGTGCAAACTTGTTAATTTATATTTGTCTCCTATTACAGTTAAAACATAATTTTGTGCTAAACATTTTAAAGTATAGGTATACTCAAAGGTTTAAAACCACATACAGCGCATTCATAAAGGATTTTTTTTTTTTTTTTAAATGCCTGATACTACAGTCGAACCGCTTCCTGACTGCCCTATAGCACTGCTACAGGACAGCAGGGCTGCGCAAAAATCACTATATATATATATATATATATATATATATATATATATATATATATATATATACACACATATATACATACACACATACACACACACACACACACACATATACATATATACATACACACACATATATACACACACACAAGATTGCATTTCTGGGTAGGGGGCACACGCACCGCCCTAGTCGGCTACAGATGTCAATCACCGAGTCCCAGACGGAGATTTCCCACCAGCACCCGGTGATCGCCGAGTATCACTGACAGGGGAGAGACCTGTGTGTAAACACCACAGGTCTCTATCCTGCCAGTAGTAACATGCTGCTGTGTATTTCTTTGCTGTGCAGAGAAATACACAGCAGTATGGTTTCCCTAATAAACCACACACAGCACACATAGTAAAAGAGTACACAGTTAACCCCTTTGATTGCCCAGATGATAACCCCATCCTGCCCAGTGACATTGGGATGTCAGTGGCAGTTAGTCAGTCCCCCCTAGTGTCATAATGACCACCGCAGTCCCGCTTTAAGTCGCTGATCGCCGCCATTACCAGTATATAAAAAATAAAAGAAATTCCAGTATAAATACACATCGCCTTTTTTCAAATGCTATAACTTTCACATAAACCAATTAATTTACTTGTATTGGTACTGGTTTTTTTTGTTTTTTGTTTTTTTTTTTAAACAAAGACATGTAGCAGAATCCATTTTGACCTAAATTTACTAAGAAATTTGATTTACTTTTTTTACTAGATGTTTTATAGAAATAAGTCAAAAATATTGTTTCTTTCAAAATTGTCGGTCTTTGTTTATGGCACAAAAAATAAATACACAGGTGACCAAATACCACTGAAATAAAGCTCTATTTGTGGGGGGTGGAAGAAAGAAAAACATAAAATTCATTTATGTACAGTGTTGCATGGCAATCAAATACCACCAAAAGAAAAAAAACTGTTTGTGTGAAAAAAGGATGTAAAAATTAAAATTTAGGTGCACCGTTGCATGACCACACAATTGTAAAGTAACGTAAGGCATCACAAAAAATGGCCTGGTCGGGGGGGTAAATCCTCTGGAGGGCGAATTGCTAAAATGTATTTTTACTCATTCTACTCTCAGTATTCCATAATGACAAAGTGAAAACAGGATTTTTTTTAATTTTTGAAAAATGTGATATTTCAGTTTTTCCTTTTTCATACATTACACACAAGTAATCAGACCCTTTGCAACACTTGAAATTTAGCTCAGGTGCTCCCATTTCTTTTGACCACTGGAGATGTTTCTATATCTTGACTGAAGTCCACTTGTGGTAATTCCGGTTGACTGGACATGATTTGGAAAGGCACACCTCTCTATAAAAGGCTTCACAGCTAACAATCCATACTGTATCAGAGCAAAAGTCATAAGGTCAAAGGAACTGCCTGCAGAGCTCAGAGCACATATTTGCCAGCACACCATGGAACATCAAATGTCATTAGGCATGTGAAGGGTCCTGCACGGCTCTGAAACGTTGCACTTGTTCCTTTGTGATGTGAACTTTCTGCAATAAAAGCTTCGGACATTTATTGGTCCATGGTGAGATTGGCAAATATGTGCATTGACCTGAGAGGTTTTCAGCTGGTAGTTGCTGCAGCACCCACTAATGCTAAGCCTATGACCAGGAATGTGTGCGATGAGAATATTGACAAAAAATCTCCTCCGTGCAAAACACATGAAGGCCTGCTTGTAGTTTGCAAAAAACCACCTGAAGGAACAAAATTGTCTGGTCTGATTAAACCAAGATCGAACTATCTGGCCTCAGTTCTAAACATTATGCCTGGAGGAAACCAGGCACTGCTCTTCACATGCCCAATACCATCCCAACAGTGAAGCATGGTGGTGGCAGTATCATGCTGTGAGGATGTTTTTCAGTAGCAGGGACTGGAGACTGGTCAGGGTTGAGGGAAAAAAAAAAAAATATGAATGGAGCAAAGTACAGAGAAATTCTAAATAAAAACCTGTACCACAGTGCTCAGTATCTTAGACTGGGCTGAATGTTCACCTTCCAACATGACAACATTCCTAAGCACACAGCCAAGACAACACATGAGGTTTAGGGACAACTCTGAATGTACTAGAGTGGCCTAGCCAGATCCCTGACTTGAAACCTATTGAACATTTCTGGAGATACCTAAAAAGGGCAGTCCACTGATGGTCCCCATCCAACCTGAAGGAGCTTGAGAGGATTTGCAAAGAATGACAGAAACCCCCCCCCCCCCCCCCAATCTAGGAGTGCAAAGCTTGTCGTGTCATACTCAAAAAAGATACATATATACATACATACATACAATTTAAAGGGTTACCACTATACTAGATTTCCCAAGTCATCTTTGATAACATGACTTCGCTTTGAGAACTGAGAGAATGCCTATAAAACATCCATATGATCATTTAACTTGGTTGTAGATCATAAAACACAAAAAAGGTAGCGCTATCAAATTAAATAGTGATAAAAAAAAAAAAAACAGTGAAAAATTTTATTTAAAATGACCCAAAAAAGGTCTAAGAATTTTCTCTATCAACAGTGAACAATGTCCATCACCATAAGAACAGATTTGTGCAAATCCACCACCAACAGAAATGAATAAACTCACCAGAGCAAATTGCCAGTAAAATTATAAACCAGCAGTTGCACTTTTTTGCTCTGGGAGCAATACTCTGCAGGCAGACTCAGCGGTGACCAGCTTTTCAAAATATTCCTCTCTCAGCTTGTAGATGTAATATTCTGTAGGTCAGGGAGACGCAGATATCCAGACCTTTAATTTATCTTCCTTGGGAGCAATACTCTACAGATCTATAACTCAGCAGCGAAAACTTCCAAACACTTCGTGCACAGGCTCAGAAAAGAAAGAAAAACAAAACAAATGATCGTGCGATACCGTACTACGCATTTGTAAAAAATCATAATCCACTCACATGGAACAGTGTCATGGCCACTAGCAAAAAACACATTTCTTTAAAATCACAGAAAGCCGAGACGACAGCCTCTTACAGAACATAGTGACATTAGTCCGAAGCTCCACCCTACGTGTTTCGTCATCCGACATCTTCACGGAGCGGAAGGAGGAACGTCACTACATCCACAACACAGCAAATTATACCCGCTTACCAGCGCGGGGGGAACGAATTGTGGGATCAATACTTAAAGAAAAATT